TGGGAAGGGACAGACTGGGATTTCAAAATTGTAGAATAGATAAACAAGATTATTGTATAGCACAGGGAAATATACACAAGGTCTTGTGGTAGCTCACAGTGAAAAAAAAATGTGACAATGAATATATATATGTTCATGTATAACTGAAAAATTGTGCTCTACACTAGAATTTGGCACAACATTGTAAAATGACTATTACTCAATAAAAAATGTTAAAAAACAAAAAACAAAAACTCATGTAGTTTTGTTCGGGAGTATAATCTCATAGTCATGTATATACTTCATATATCCATCACTGTCTTCCTTTTTTAGTCTCTGAAGTCTGTGAGTATTTTGAACTTCTTTATTTGCCCAAGCCTGGGCCCAACGCTTGGCACATAAGAGACACCCAATAAATGTTTGGGAGATGAATAAAATTTTGAAAAATGAATAAGTGAGTGAAAGAATGTTTCTAAGGAGGGAAAGAATATTGTGGGATAGAGAAAATATATGATTACAGTATCTAAATACCACCTTTGCGTATGTGTGGGATGGGGAGATAGTGTGCATTTTATCAATATTAAACCATAGCTCAGGGAGTTCCTATAATAATAATGTGAACAGAATTCAGTTTCTAGGGTGGGATGTAGTTTTAGGGTCAATAATATCATTCATTTGTGCCTAAACTGTTAAAGACAGTCTCAGGCAGCTTGTGTTATCGAATGAAAATCAAGAGGAAAATCAGGAAAAGTTCCTGGATGCATAAATAGAGTGGCCTTGAATGATACAGAGAAAGCTAAAGACACAACTATTGAGGAACAGTTTGTTGAAATACACAAGCTGTGTCAATTTCCCCCACACAGGGCTGATACTGACTACTCTGAGGAGACTGTTTTAGGGAGACAGTTTCAAAGGCCTGAGACTCACCAGACCAAATCTCTCTCAAAATACCTCTTCTAGTGCACTGTATTCCCAGAAATAACACCATTAGTGCCTTTTGCACATACAAGTGTTTATCATTTTAAGTTGCGTACCACTATAGTTATTTGCTCTTTGCATTTACACTATGTCAGAAAATTGGCAAATATAGAAAACAGTGTTAATGTTGCCAAGTCCAAATTCACTCTGCTCACTGCATGACAAGCCAAGGTGTTGGGGCCAGGAATAATGATTTTATACAGAAAGCCAGCAGACAGAGAAGATGGCAGACTAATGTCCTGGAGAACCATCTTACCGAAGTCAGAATTCAGGCCTTTTACACTAAAAAGGGGAGAGGGTGTAGTTAGTTGTTTCAAACTTCTTAGTGTCAGAATCCTTTGTTCTTTCAGCTGTCATGTAGGTAGGTCAGGTCATCATGTTCCTGTAAACCTCCAACAACACAAATGTTATTCTCTGTTTTGCAACTTTTTATCTTTATATGAATGGAAAAGCGTTGTACTCTTAAAGGTTAAGCTTGAGAATGGGGTATCCTATATATTTCAGGCTATAGGCAACATTCCTTTGCAAAAGGTGAAGAACCAACATGACTGAGCACAGGAAATGGGAGCTCTGGGTTAGAGCTAAAGGAAGAGATCTAACATGGAGGCAGATTTATTCTTCCCTGTTAAATTAATGGCACCACTAGTCCATATAAGTCATATTGTTATTAATACCTTACTGTGTATTCCCCATTTTTTTCATTTCTAATTCTTTTCTAAGTATACTATAACAATTTTGAATCTTACTTTTCTCACTTAATAGCATCTCTTAAGTCTTTACTCATATTTTGGGACAGTCTTTAAAACTATCTTCTTACTGGTAAGACATTCTATCATGTGTAAATACTATAATGGTCTTAACAATTTATTTACTGGTGACTGTGTAATTTATTTACAATTTCAGATTATTCTCTAGGGCTGACTTTCTATGAGGAAGCTTGAGGAATTGAGATAGATAAGAGAAAATGCAGATTATATAAAGGAGAACAGGTTGGAGGAGAGTGCCCAAAACCAAGAAGCGGAAACTTCTGTCATACTTAAGTCTATTTATGTGATTAGTTTAAGCCACGGTGCTATTAAAAGGACACTGATGAGGTCTCAAAAACTACACATGCAGCACTTGTGTCCTAAATGAGCTCTAGGCAGCAAGTAAAATCTCCAAGAACATTTATAGGAAATACAAGATATAAAAAGTTTGCTTGTGTATCTGTGCATTTTATGTATGCTTTATTTTGTTCTTGAAGGTATATCAGTTCTGAACCAGTTTTAGTTTTGAGGATGGGGTCTGTCATCCAAGTTCTTTCCAGATTTTGCTGCTGAAAGTTCACCAGTGGCTGCTTCAGCTAGTAGCACCGAGACTCCAGACCAGAGTCCCATTTTGCTTCACTTCCTGAAGCAACATCCCCCCATTTCACTGAGAGAAGAATCAGATACAAAGAATACAGCTTCTTTAACACTGTCAAGTTGATATTTTTGAGTTAACATTTTAAAAAAAATTTGGTAGGAAGAAAATGACAAGCTTATCATAGTAAATTTGTAAAACATATCAAGAAGCAGAGCAAAATCACCTATAATTTTACTAAAAGATTGCAACTGTGAAATTTTCTATGTAATTCCTTCCTGTATTTTCTTAGTTACAAAATAAGTTTGGAAACACTTATGTAAGTCTTTTCTATTTTGGAAAAAAAGATTAAGCAGCATTATATTGTTAACATTTTCCCCACTCATCAGTTATATTTCAAAATATGATTTTGAGTATCTGTTTGATATCTGTACAATATTCTGTAATTTGAACATATGATAATTCACTTAATCTTTAATAACTGAACATTTGGACATGTATGACCTTAATGTTATTATCATTATTTTATTTTCCTTAAATCTATAAATTTATTTGGGATAAAATGACAGATTAACATCATTTACTCGTTACATATAGAAACATGGTAGGTATCTCCATTTATTCATTTTCTTTTCCTGTTTAAAGTTAAGTATTTGCAGTTTTCCTTGTATACACTTCACAGATTTTTGGTGAGTTTATTTAGAGGTGTACTACATTTTGTTGTTATTATGAATGGCATTTTCTTTCCATTACATTCTTTCTGATTATTATTTTTTATATTTTTACTTTGCATGAGGCCACCATTTTAAAGTTTCTTACTGCTTTTAATCATTTTTTGAAATCATTTTTGTGAAAACTCACATCATGAAAAATATCTGCTAGCACTTGGTAAAAAAATAGGCAAAGAAATAAGTACTGGGCTGAGCAGATTTCTGAGTTTCAATTCAGGAGATAACTGATGAGTATTAATGGGCTGTCTTTTAATCCCTAACTTCTCCCTCTTTCTTTTGGGAGAACTGGAGGATTAAACAGTTGCCTCCCCTTTTATTCAGTACTTCTAATGAGAGAAGATGAGGAAGGCTGCATGCTCACTTCCTCTCTCCTCTACTGAGGAATACTGTGTAAGGGTCTGCAGGTTGTTCCTGGCATAAGGGAGCCTGTCCAAAAGAGAAAGTGGTGCCTGCCACCCAGCCTGTGCCCTGGGAGCAGAAATGTGCCCCTTGAAGTGTGTGAGAGTTTCCCCTGAGGAAGTGGGACATAAAAGAACTTCTGATTAAGACCTACGCTGAGGAGCTGCTGCTTTGTGATTTACGCAAAGGGCTTTGCAGAATAGCCTTGCACTCGTCATACTATTACTTTATGTAGAGCCTGACTTTTATTTCCCTTGCGTAGCTAAAATGAAGATAGACAAGTGAATCTGGTCTTTTTTTGTGCTCCTGTGGAACTGGGTGCAATTTCATTAGTAGATAAGATTGTGCCCTCTCAAAGTAAGAATTATTTTCTTAGATGGAATAAGATGATTTCAGGCCACTTTGAAGATTAACTGGAGAGTAATATACCTCATTTCAAACATTGGCTATACTATCTTATTTCTGTCCTCAGACTCACACACATTATCCTCTCTGCATGGCTAATTTTCATTCTAATACATACAGGGAGAAAAGCACTTTAAAAAAATCATAAAGCATTTAAAATACAAGTTATTATTGCTTCATTAGGTTTTTTTTTGCCAGGTAATCTTATTTCCAATAATCTTATTTCTGTTTTGTTTCAGTATATTTATTCTTTTGTATTGAGTGCTCCTGGGTGGTACTAATATAAGGAAGGAATATATCAAATTGCATCACCCTAAAAGAACCCAAACAGTAACCAGTTGGAGAAAACTATTTTCACAAGATCCTGTTCAAAAATTGGTTTTGCTAAGAAGAAGTTTTTCTATAAGCACTTGAGGACGAATCTCAAACCCCAAAGGTCCCACATATGGACAAAATTATTCTGAATAAGGAAGGGAGAGATGTTCTGGTCACTCGTGTGGGTGGTAGGGAGAGGATGAGAAATGAAGAGAAAGAGGCAGCATGAGGTATAATATGAGAAAGTGATTGGGTGTTCAGCACGGTGGTCATTCTCAACCCCACCCTACAGTCAAGTTTATAAACCTACACAAAGCTAGAACGACTTTGATTCTGGATAAAATGTTGAAGGGCATGAGTCTCCCATGCAGACTGATGTGATCAAAATAAGACAGCAGGTGGATTAGGAGTGAGAGGAGGGAAGCACACATGACCCTGCTTGTATGGGTGTGTGTGTGTGTGTGTGTGTGTGTGTGTGTGTGTGTGAAATCTGCAAAAGATAGAAACTGAGTGGTTGACATCTGGGTTATATACTGTTTTTTCTTGAAAAATGCTTGAGAATGTCTGGCATTTTCCTGTTCCCATGCAGACAAGAAAAGAGACATGAATATAATAAAGCCTAGTACACAAGATCTATGCAAATTCTGGTAAGGTCTTATTTGCTATTTGCTTCATTGAGATGCATCCCTACAAATATTCCAGGGACTATAGGAATTTACTTAAAACCAAACCTCCTATAATTTTTTATCACTATATGTCCTACATATATTTGGATTCTAGTGTTTGAGAGGCTGTCCTTGACCAGATATCATGATCCTGAACAGTCTTTTCAGGGCCTCTTTCATCTCTTTATTCCGGAGGCTGTAGATCAAGGGATTGAAAAGTGGCGTCATCACAGAATAAAATAAGGTCACAATTTTCTGAATCCCTGCTGGATTGCCGGCTGTTGGGCTCACGTACATCACCATGATGGAGCCATAGAACAGGGACACCACAGCCAGATGGGAGCCACATGTGGAGAAGGCTTTACGCCGGCCTTCTGCTGAGGGGACCCTCAGTACCGCTCTGATCACCAGGGTGTAGGAGCTGGTAATGAACAGGAAAGTGGAGAAAATTAGGACTGAGTTAAAGATGGCACAGGTGATCTCAGTGGCAGGAGCTGGCACACAGGACAACTTCATAAGGGGTCCTGGGTCACATAAAAAGTGATCAATAGTATTGGGGCCACAAAAAGGAAGCTGGGAGATGAGATACACTGGGAGGAGAAAACAGGAGAAGCCACACAGCCAGCAGCAGGCTCCCATTCTGATGCAGCGCTGAACTGTCATGACAGTGGGGTAGCGCAGGGGCCTGCAGATAGCAAGGTACCTGTCAAAGGCCATGGCAGACAAGAAGAAGGTCTCAGTGGTGCCCATGGAGAAGAAGAAGTAGAACTGGAGGAAGCAGCCCATGAAGGAGATGGTCTTGGTCTGAGAGAGGAAGTTGGCTAGCATACTGGGGACAGTGGAGGTGACATACCACATCTCCAGGAACGAAAAATTGGCCAGCAGGGTGTACATGGGGGTGTGGAGGTGGTGGTCCCACCACACAGCACAGATAATGGACAGGTTTCCAGTTAGTGTCAGCACATAGATCACAGAGAAGAATGCAAAGAGGAGGATCTGAGTCTCCCAGATACAAGGGAATCCAAGAAGAATGAATTCACTCACAGGGTCAGAGTGATTATTCCTTCCTGCATTGTTCATTATTTTTTCCCCTAAAACTGCAATAACAAGACATTACCATGTTACACATGACTTTACAGAAGTTTTCTCATGAAGATGTTCTCTGAATGACTTTACAATTCAAATAGCAGCATAATTTTAGAGTGCTTAAAGATTTCCAGCATTCTTTGTCCCAATGTGACACTGGGAAGAAATAAGAAACTTGAAGGTGTGGCTGCTTGTTACAGCCTTGTCAACATGCTCACCATGCCCATCATGGTCCATTAAACATCAGCCTTTGTGTCACGTCCTCAGCACTACAGAAACCAAGGTAGATGTTCCTTGCCATTCAGAGGCTTAGCTCAGAAACATCCACCTGGGGATGAATGTTATATATAATCAATCTATCTATCTATCTATCTATCTATCTATCTATCTATCTATCTATCTAGGATATATGGGGGTTTAAACAATTAAAATCTGTGTAAAAAGAGACAAGAAAACATTGCAGGAATGTATAGCCATAAAGCAAGAGTTTGTTTACTACTGTAATCTTTAATAACATCACATGCATAGTTTTAGATGGGGTTTCTGTTTATGTAGTATTGGGAATGTTGGAAAAGAGGTAAGGAAAACAACATTTTATCAGTGACTGCTTACAGCAAGGTCAATTGTGACATTTGTGTTCCATCTCACATATAAATATCTCTGTGAAAAAAATTCCACAATTTGCACTGTTAATTTTGCTCAGTGTTTAGTGGCATCTGCACAATTCTCCAAAGTACTCTCTCTTTTTAACTTGGTCCTCTTTCTAATAAAATTTTTTTTGTGGAAGAAGAGTAAGTTCCATGCACTATCACCTTGAATAAATGATTTAAAAATGAAATTGGTATGAATGAATGAGGGTCAGACTACAAAACAACATGATTACTCTTTTAGCTGAAATTTACCCCAACTAGAGTACATGGCCTTCAGTCCTCAGGTGAAATTTATCACATCCTGGGAAGGTACCTCACGATGGTGCTCTCTCTCTATCTTGCCACACAGAACAAAAATAACTACAGTGGCATATATATTATTAAAAGCACTTTGAGATTTGAATTACATTAATTAAAGATCTGTGCATGGACTATTCATTCTCATTACTTTTTCTATCGGTTATCCAGGGTGCCTATGATAAGAGTTCCTTCCAGTTGCCTTGAACTGTAAATGTTTTTTTTCAAGAATGGTTCTTGATATTTTTCCTTCTCCAATTATGCTCTCTCTGTAAGTGACCTGTCAGCTAGTCCCTTGACATAAAAACTATCCATGTGAGATGAAGCCAAATTTTCTCTCCTGAGCTGCGAAGTCTTTTCTGCAACCTGGATTTATCTACCCAATTTCTTACTCAGCATCTCCATTGGCTATGGAAGGTACCTAAAATGCAAGATGCCCATGACTAAAATTTTGGTTCTTCTCACCCCAAACTGGCTGGTCCTTACTTCTGTGCCGTATCATTCAATGGCACCTCCATCACTCAGTTGCTCAGGCCACAACTTTGGCCACAACCTTCCCACCCTTCTCAGTATTCTACATCCAAACTGTCAACAGATCCTTTAGGCCTCATGTTCAAAACATAGCTTTAGAAAATCTGATCATGTCAACTACTTGCTCTCAACCTCCTAACACAACTCCAAATTCCTTACCTCAGTCTATAAGGCCCGTGAGACCTTCCTCCACGTCCTCATTTCCTACCGCTTTTCCCTCTACGGACCCCATCCAGCCGTGCTGATACCTGATACGCCAAGTGTGGATGGTATCAAGGTCTGGAACGCCTGTCACTCCTTCTTGCCAATATTCGTGTGCCTTAATTTCTTACTTCATTCCGTTTTCTGGTAAAAGTCAGAGACTCAGCGAGGCCTTTCTTGATTTAGCCCATCTCTGCTACTCTGTTTCCCAATTCTGCTTTAGTTTTCTACAAAGCACATCACCACCTGGCACTGTATTATATGCGTAGTATGTATTTTCTGTCCCAGCCACCTGAATATAAGAGGACATTACTTTGCTCACTGATGTATTCCCTGAACCTAGGACAGTGTTCAAGATAAAGTAGCAGTGCTCATTAAATATTTATTGTCTCAATCAATGAACATGCCAATTAGGAAAACAATTGCTTCTAGTCAGGGAAAAATGTAAAAAAAAAAATGGAAAGACTGGAATCTACAGTTTGCTAAAAAACAAAAGCAAGGCAACAAGACTTGTATGGGGACACAGCCTCAGTCCAAGTGAACAGCAGGAGATTCATGACAGGAGCCTGCTCGAGACAACCCCATTGAAGCTGCCTTTCTGTCTGAATCACCTCATCTTTCCTTATGTGCCCCTCATCCACTCTGCTTTGTGCTCAGTACTTTCTTGCTGTTGTTAAGTTATAATCATGCCCTAAGGAGGGGTGTGTGTGTGTGTGTGTGTGCACTTTTTTGCTATCTACTCTCTCAGTCTTTTTCTATATCTGATGGTCTGTATTGTAACATATTTTTATTGAATAACTTTTATAATTCTTTCCTTGTATTTTTAAATAGGTAAGCAAACTGTTTTTGACTTCCCTCTCCTAAAGAAAATGTGTTTATGGTCTGTAACATGTTTTTCCTGTGTGGCTGATCAAAAATGTTCTTCTCTTACTACCTCATATTTTATTCTGCATCATCTTCAGGGTCAGGAAATCTGGTATATGTGACTTGAATAAGTAATGAGATATAGAATAAAGCTGTCATTCCACAGTTTATTCCTGGCCCATGTGGTTCAGCAAACATCTCAATTTAAGAAATATACAGTTATTTTATTTAAATATGTTCACTTATGCTTTTATGGATAAAGTACATATAACCTAACATTTAATTACACAAGTTCTGATACTGGAGGCTATGTTATATAATTGAGATTCTAACCAGTTTCCATTATAAGGGAGCGATTCTAATTTACATTTTCATGTGGAGAAACTACAGCACAGGGTTAGAGGAAAGTGAAAAAGACATTACAAAAAATTCTGAGCTGTGAGTTACCTGAAGTGTTTGCATGAGAATTACAGAATCCAGTAGAAAGGAGACGTCCAAATTTAGGTTTCTCTCTCCTGGAGTATGCAGTCAGCTTCGGTTTCTCGTCTCTCATTTCAGTGGGAGAAAATGTGCAGCAAAGCCAAACACAGTGGTGCTGGCACCCAAGTATCTTAGGTGGCTTCTAAAAGGGGGTGAGTGTTGGAAGACAATATTGTCAAATATAGCAATGATTTGAAGCCCAGAAAATGAGCATATTGCTTAAACAACTTGAAAAGGTGGTTATATGCGGTTGTAAATGGTACTGTGGTCTTTCCTGGTTTGGGAAGAACCAATTACACCCCTATCTGTAAAGGAGAGTATGGAGCAAACACGTTCTGAGCTGTGGCTTTTCTGTCCTCAACATCCCATCTCGGAGAGGGTGCTCCAGAGCGCTCTGTGTGCAGCCAGGCCTTACCACTGAGCTCCTGTTCCCCTCACACTTTGTAATAAATATGCCAAGACTGGGTCTCACCCTCCTGGATTGCCCAGCTTCTCCCAATGGCCTCATCTAAGAGTAACAATGAGAAAGTTTTGGCCACATCTCAGAAAGTATTTCTTTAAGTGAGATTTAAATTGGTCCAGCCTCTTGGGGAAAAGGGAAGATGATGAGGCCTGGGTCTAAGCTGAAGAATAAGTTGGCCTTAAGCTTTGGATCCGAATATTAAGTATAACCAGCAGCATCTGTGTGTATTTTTATAGTAATGAAGCTATATTTTCCCTCCATAGAGATGATACTGGATTTAGGAATGAAAATGTAGGAGTAAAGGGTTCTAGGAAGCCAAAGGATATAAAGACAGGTTAGCTGTTATAAAGAATTTACGAACCACTTCAAAGGCTTTATCTGTTCCCTTCTTTCCATGATTCTACACCAATACCAACCCCAAGTATGCTGTAGTAATGCTGAGATTTTTGGATCTGTAAGAACAGTTACATTCATACTTGACTGTAACCTGTTCCTCTGCTTGTTTTGTGAATTTGTCCTTTCAATCTCACTTTAGCCGGAGGAAAGGAAACATTTAAGTCAACATTATGATCACCATAACTAATAATGTGACTTTAGAATTTTTAAATGAAGGTGATGATCTAATCCTGTTTGATACTGATGTAGATATCTCCATACAGATACAGAGCCTTTCAAAAATTCTGGGTCTCATAATTTAAGAAGAACATGAGCAAACTATGGTGAATTTAGAGAAAGCAGCTTAGAGGGAGTTAGAAGTATCCTTTTCAGATTCTTTTCCATTATAGGTTATTACAAGATATTGAATATAGTTCCTTGTAGGAACTTTACAGTAGGTCCTTGCTGTTTATCTATTTTATACATAGTACTTTGTTATCTGCTAATCCCAAACTCCTAATTTTTCCCCCACCCTCACCCCTTCTCCGTTTGGTAACCATAGCTTGTTTTCTATGTCTGTAAGTCTATTTCTGGTTTGTAAATAAGTTCATTTGTGACTTTTTTAGATCCCACAAATAAGTGATATCATATGATATTTGTCTTCTCTGTCTGACTTACTTTACTCAATCTGTTAATCTCTAGGTCCATCCATGTTGCTGCAAATGGCATTATTTCATTCTTTTTGTGGCTGAATAATATTCCATTGTGTGTGTGTGTGTATATATATATATACACACATACACATACATATACACATACATCACATCTTCTTTAGCCAATCATCAGTTGATGGACATTTAGGTTGCTTCCGTGTCTTGGCTATTGTAAATAATGCTATTGACACTGGGGTGCATGTACCTTTTTTGAGTTATAGTTTCTTCTGGATATATGTCCAGAAGTGGGATTGCTTGATCATATGGTAACTCCATTTTTAGTTTTTTTTAAGGAACCTCCATACTGTTTTCCATATTGGCTATGTACCAAACTACATTCTCACCAACAGTGTAGGAGTGTTCCTTTTTCTCCACATCCTCTCCTGCATTTATTATTTGTAGACTTCTTAATGATGGCCA